GACTACAACATCCAGAAGGAGTCTACACTCCACCTGGTGCTGCGTCTGCGTGGCGGAAACTAGGTTTTCTACGCAGTAGCTCGCTGCAAACGAAGCAGTTTCGCTGCTTGATAGGTAGTGAATCACTATCGATTAATCAATAAAATGTCCTTTGGTAAGATGAAGTTGGTGGCAATTGGATTGTCTTGTGATGTTGGCGTTTGTAGCGGTTGGAAGAAGTATTTATAGGCGCTGTGTCCGAAGCTGAGGAAATGATCTCAGTCCAGCTGAAGGTTCATCCGAACATGAAGCCGGAAGCCGAGATAAGCGATAAAGAGTGGCGGCAAATGCGACGCCAAATGCCGAAGCTCGACTTCGAGCCGGTACCAGAAACCCCTGCATTGCTTCCACGATCTCTCTATGGCGAGAGCGATCAGGAGCTATCGTCGATCTACGAGGAAGAGCCGCGGGTGGTCCGCGAAAGCACCGAGACTGAAGTTAAGCCAACTTGCCAATGCCATAATTCACCCAAGAACCGCACCAGGCAAGAAGAACCTCCTCATTTGCTGATAAGATATTTTACTGACTGAAGTTTTTATCTTGTTAGTACAATCTCTACGAGTGGCAGCAGTCTCACTGAAGTTGGGCAAACGCAATCCGAGGTGACTTCGAAGAAACAAAGCACTGAGTTGCCTTCAACATCAATGGCAGTGTCTCCTACGACTACGAGGCGCTATGTGCCGCAAGAGCAGCAGCGGCCACCTGAAAATACATTCGAGCTGGACGACACCGAACTCGCAGCATTAGATGCTCAGCTGGCGGCAGCGCAAAACGCCACTCGTCGATTGATTATGGTTAGATCGAGCTATCTCGCTCGTTCTTTCTTTAAGAACTGTGTGAGCCTGACTTTGGTGCTCGATTACAGGGTGCTTTTCTAAATCTCAAGGCAAAGAAAGCAAAGACCGAAGCCCAAGAGCGCATGAAGCTGTCTGCTGCTCATGCTAGCGATATCAAGATCCTTCAAGTACTTTTTTTCAACTGTTGTGTTGCTTGGAGAAGATCGACTTATTGCATGTTTGTGTGTTTGTGTGCATGCAGAATACGGTGGAGGACTTGAAATTGAAGGTGGCAAAGGCTGAGGAACAGCGAGACCAGCGTAACTTGCTGCTGGATCGCTTTTCGGAGTTTACAACCAAGAAATTGCATCTCAACGTAAGATACATAATTTCTCTGCTCCGCTTTCTTCTGTTTACTTACGTGGTTATGCAGCAAGAACGCAGTGGAAAGCGTTCAATGGTGGACTGTTTCCATGCATGGAATGAAATGACTCGACAGAGGACAGCAAAATATACTGCTCTTTGCCGGGTATTTGCTCAAGCTTGTAAGCGTCAGCAGCTTGCAGGCTTTCGCTATTGGAAAGAAAGCGTGCAAATGTCCCTACTTCAAAAGCAGCTTCAAGATCAACGAGACCGGTACGAACATCGAATCGTCGAGATGGAGAAGGAATATCAGCTCAAAACTCAACAGGTTTGCGTCGCTCGTAATGTTTCATGTCATTAACGTATCATAACGAGTCTCTTCACTCTTTAGCTTCAACACGATATCGACGATACAAAATCTCAGGTAGCAGAATCGCAAAAATGCCGGCGAAAGCTAGAAGAAGACCTTCGCCTGGTATTTTTGCGAGGTGTCTCGGCGATGAACATCGAAGCATTAAATGTCTTCGGTTCAAGCCACAAACAACTTCGCAAGCTAGGCGAACAAGAGCGATCGGTTCTGCCGTCGCGTCAGAAGGAGGAAATCAGCAATCAAAGCGCTGAATCAGCCGCAACTAAAGTCATACCCTCCAGCGAGCTCACTGTTTCAGAAGTTATGGCGCCGCTAAAAGAGCTTAAATCGCCGGAAACAAGTGCACCAGTCCCCGTCTCGATTGAAGACTCAGGCACGGTGTGCTCCTCGCCATGTCATTCCCGGCTGTCTGTGGTGAGGTCCAGCTACTCGCAAACTTCACCGTCTCTCAGTCGAGCTACCAACGAGTGTTCCCATCCTAACAATACCTCCGGACTTCGCAGCGCCGAGATGATCCGGCAACACGAGTTGTCTCCCTCAATGTGGGGGCCGCCTGCAAGTCGATCAGCGTCCTCAACTTTCCGTCCATCCTCAGCTCCATCACCAACGAAAAAGAGATTGGGCTCCCAGTTGAGCACTAAATCTCAAGTGGAAATGCAGTATATGCGCAGTACCATTGCTGCTTCAGCAGCACGAGCGACTCGCTCGCCAAATTCGACTTCCAGATCACATAGATCGTAAAATGGTAAAAATGGATACTTCTAGTAGTAACTCCCTTTCTTATCTTCATTCTGGGACTCCTTCGTTCACTACAGTCCTAGCTTCGTGTGACGATGAGTAGGCAAGAAGTCTTCTCTCCACGTTTTGAACTTGAAGGGGAAATACTCGAGGAAAGAATCAGGTGCTTCAACTCCGACGATGGCGAAGAAGACGGGGTACAGTCTTGTTATCTCTACAGTCACTCAACCATTGTTCATATGTGCTATACGAATTCTATTAGATTGACTTGGAAGGATACGAAGAGTACTTGGAGCATTTGAAAAGGTAATTACCTTTTCAAATTCTTTAGCTATCGGTGCCTCATACGGGTCTTCTTGCAGCAAAGCGGCAATTCGACCTTGTAGTGCCCGAGTTGTACGGCCAGTGGCTACAGAGTCTCCCCACTTCTTCACGACCAACTCAGACAATCCTGTTCCCACCAGACCTGCTCGACCGGTGAGCGCTCGTCCTCGAATGCGCTCTACACCAAGAGGCTCGTTGGGTGATGGTTCTCAATCTTCCTCAAGTGGAAATAGGCGAAAACGCCAAGGCGAAAGGCTTGTTCACGCTCGGATTCGAGCAGTGTACAACGATGTTGGGCGCTCTTCAATTCCGACGAAGCAAATGACAGCGCCATTCAGCACGACATCCGCTCTTAGCAGCAAGTCCAGGGGGCTGCAAGAAGCAGACATACACGATGAGTACTACAGATTACTTGACTCCGAAAGCGAACTGAAAGCTGCGCTTCTTCAAGAACAACAAAAGCGCGTGAAGGCGATGTCACACGCTCGTCGCCTGGAAGAGGTCGTAGCCATGAAAGACAAGAAAATTGAGACCTTGTTGCATGCCAAGGCTATTGGTACTGATAGATCACTGAGCACACACAGAAGTGTCGGTCAAAGGGAAATGGCGGAGCGTGATCGACAGCTCCACGCCATGACGCAAAAACTGAAGCAGAAGCTTGCCCAACAGTCTCAGCTACTGAGTTCTTACGAGGAAGCGATGCAATCCCTTCGTAGTGGTGTAAAGAGCACAAATCTCATGGAGCTCGAGGAAGAGCGAAATCAGCTCTATCAGGAATTGCGTCACCACCAAATACTCTTGGATCAACAACGTTTTGAATGGGAAGCCCATCAACAAAAACTGGTTGCTTTCTCAGAAGCGGAGGCGAGCAGTAAGCTCCAGATTGCCAAGCTTCAGCAAGAGAATAAGATGATTGGCTACGAAAAGCGCAAACTAGAGCAAGAGGTTGGATTCTTGAAGTCTCGCGTAGAACAGCTTCAAAGCAACCTCTCTCTTGAGCAACGTAAGCGGACATACGATCGAGAATTTAGTGAAAGCGTCGGAAAGCATACCTTTTCACCACCTACACAAAAAGTGATGCTGGCCCAAGCACTCGATGAAATGAAAAGTTTTATGCAGAGAGAGACAATGGCGTCAACCAAGCGTGAAAAACAGAAATCATCCAAGACATCACAGCCGGATACTTTTTTTTCTCCAGTTACTTTGAAAACTGCATCAATCGCACACTCAACAGTATCTACTACATCTTCTGCCCCAACGACCCCAATCAAGTCTACAATGGCGCCTCCGAGTCCCTCTCAACTTTCAAAAAATGTTTGTACTTGCTCCCAGGGAATTGCAACAAGACCAACAGCACCAACGACTCCAAACACGCAGCCAGCCTCTGCGATTGATTCAATTTCATCTGCTGCTGCTACTGTTACATTACCCGAGGCTATTGTGGCTTCAGCCTTAAAAAACCAAGAGGCTAACCTAGAATCCAAGCAACAGACTGGCCGCGACGGCATTATCATTGATGGAACTAATGAAGCCTCGGTCGGTGACGTGCGTCAGGGCGTCCAAGAAGATCAAGTCATCGGTGCAACTACGAATGACAAGGTTATTGAAATTGACAACATCAAATTAATCCAAGAGTGTCCTCATCCTGAAAGGCAGAAATCAAGCTCTTCTGAAGCTGTTCCTGACAATGGCCAGCAATGTGGAGATGTTCCATGTAACGTTGCGGAAGATGCTGATAGCACGGTTCAAGTCACTGATGAAGAAATGGATGAGATACAGCAGCAAAAACTAGCTTCCATCGCGAGTGTCTTAAGGCTAGATATCGACGACGATGCTGATAGCGAGTTGTCATCGCTTGATGTACTGGATGACGCGCAACATCTTAGAAATGATCCAGATATGAATAGTATTGATGATGTCGCCGATGCAGTGCTGATCAACTTTGAGGCGTCAAAGGAAGATGTTGCAGATGTGGAGGCAAAAGCCGCGCCGCTAATTGAGAAAGGTGCCTTACAGGAGGAGTCGAAAGACGAAAGAGGTCAATCATTAGATGATCTTTACGCAGAAGACTTTATTGATACTGACGCATAGGTAGGTAATCTGGATACCGTGTGGAGATTCATCTGCTTTCCTATTACCTATTTACATTCGCTGGGTAAGCGAGAAAAAAAAACTATGGTCATTTCGCTCTTTACATCTTGCCGTCTTTTTCTTCAATTAAAGGAGGCCACAGTCTGCTCAACTCATGGAGCTTGTAGGCTGGAATTCCGACGCGTGGATTTGCGCCCACGCGATTTGCCCCTAGCGCGGACGTACACAGGCTCAAAATATTCGACATGCTTGCTGCTTTTAACATCTTCGGCCTTGGGATGACGACCTAGGAGCTTCAGAAACCCACCACTGCTGTGTGAAGATCGCGGCTCGGCATCATCTTCCGCTTGATTCTCCACGAGTTCAGTCTTGTTCTTGTCTGCTCTCTCTTTAGCTCGTTGGTGCACTAGCTCCAGATACATTTCGCCATCGTCTGAATTGAACAATTGTGAGTAGTATTCAAACAACGCAGCGCTGCGGGCTTCGATCTTGTCGTCATCCTTGGCTTCTCCGCTCTCCAAATGAATCAGCATCTTGTTCTGGGCAGGGAATGGCACGATCCCGGGCAGTTCCTGTGAAGTCGGGTATTGGTGATGACGGTGGTGATGATGGTGCGTGTGCTGCGTGTGCTGGTTGCTAGTAGCTCCCTCGTTGTTAAAATCGCAGTCGCCGGTGCTTTTTGATTTCTTCTTTAGACCAAACGTATGCCGCACGAGACTCGAGAGTGAGGTGGGCGAGCTTTTTGACGTCGAGGACACGGACGAGCGTGAAGTGGATGAAGAATTTGACAAGAAACTCTCCCGTCCAGTGAGTAGCCCGCTGTGGGGATCCCCGTGCTTTTCTACGTAGAGCCGCACGAACTCCCGGTGTAGCCGCAGCAGCGCCTGGAATGAGCCCGAGAAGCCCAAGCGCGTGTGGCTCTCCCGTGGCGATCCCACGACAAGTTCCACGTAGTAGCGTACTCGCAACTTGGTTTTCTTCTTGGCGTCCGTCACATTGCGTTCCTCCTTATGCGCAGTGATGTCCACACCGACCTTCGGCGCTCTCATGCTCCTGGCAAACTTCCACGTTTGAAAAGTGAGGTACCGCTGAGAAAAGCCAGATTTTAGTCGAAGTTTTGACCAGTAGGAAGCAGGCGGGAGAAAAAAAACTGGCATCTGCGACGTGTGAGCGCTGTTGCCATCTAACCAAGCTTCAACATGCGCTGTATTACTCTAAGCGTCACCTGAAAGAAGTACTATGTAATGATTGATACCAGTTACGCAAGAACCTGTTTCTCGTCGTCCAGGGGCTCATGCACACGATGGACGCCAGCAATCCAGCGGCCTAGCTGCTTAACGCACGATGCCAATACGTCGTCCTCTCTAGCGATGTCCTCATCTACCACGAGCTCTTTATCCGTCTCGGTAGGAGGCTGGAGGAACCCACTAAATGGCACCGGACTCGTTGCCCCCTTTGCCGGAGATGTTGCGTCCGTAATTGATAGACTGGAAGCTTCCGCTGTGCGCTCCTTTTGGTCTACGCGCTCATGGCTGTCCACCACCGACGTCGAAAGATCAACTTTTTTCATCTGTTGCTCGTATATCATGCGCTCCATTGTGCCTGTGCTCACTAGTCGGTATACGTGCACAGTTTTGGCCTGACCGATGCGGTGCGAGCGGCACATTGACTAAAGCAAGGCAACAAACTACGATGTGAGTTCACGTCCGTATCACCACACACATTGGTTCTAGTGCCTACCTGGTGGTCGTTGGAGGGATTCCAGCTAACATCGAAAAGCACTAAACGATTTGCTGCGTGAAGGTTGATACCCTCTGCACCAGCGCGCGTAGACACCAAAAGCAGCTTCACTGGCGAATCTGCAGAGCTAAAGCGCTGGGGAAGAAATGTAACAGTGTTTTGTCAGTTAAGGTGATCACAGCTGCAAGCGTACAAGATTACAATACCTGAATGTACTCCATACGTTTGGCGCCGTTTGTGCTGCCGTCGATCTGCAAAAACCACTCATTGGATGGGGCATTTGACACCGCAGCGGCAACACCAGTCTTACGAGCACTCTGGCTGCTAGCCCCTGCCTGGCTCCGACGCTTGCGCAGAATTCCAGCAGGGTCACGATTCGGGCGCGGGGCAATTCTACGGCGTTTTGGTTTGCTTGCTGGACCACCTTCCTTCAAGCGTTTCCGTCCCTTAGCAGTGTCGTCAGCAGCACGCGATGGACTGAAGGCACTTGCTCGCAGGAAATCGGATATAACCTTCAAAGTAGGCACACTCTGGGAGAACACGACCACTTTATCGCCGCAAGCAAAGCTTTCTTCCACAATACGCAAAAGTACCGCCATTTTTCCACTGTTTTCAAGCACTTGTGCGTGATACGTACTTGCCACGGGCTGCACTGAAGGCACGACAGCTCCTCCGCTTTCGCCGAAGATAACAGAGCGCGCCCATTCGCAGGATTTTTGCGTGTCCGTGATCTTCTGGCGCTTTCTACGCCTCTGAGCTGCAGCAAGCTGTCGCTTTTCCTGTAAGCGTTCTTCACTCTCCCACGCCCAGCCGCTCGAATCGTCCAAAACATCGTTGAATTCGTCCTCCTCTAGCAGCGACGCGGATCCATCTTCCTGGGAAGGACAGAGTTTTGAATAAATAATATCCGGATGGTTCATCACTTGCAGTAGTGCGGCGTATGCAGTTAACAGGTCAGCAGTGGCCCCACCGGTGGAGCCATCATCGCCATAAAAGTGGAGAAAATCGTTGTACAAACGGTGCTGCACTGACGAAAGCTTGCAATACAAGATCCATTCCATTTTCGGAGGCAGCTGGGAACGCAGCAGTGCCTTGCCTCGACGCAAGACGACACTCTGTAGCAGCTCAATCAATTCTTGCGAACGTGTCAAATTTCCCTCTAGGATAGGTCGCTCATATTTCGCCCTAAACTCGTCGTAGCTACCCAGGAATCCCTCCCGTGCAAAATTGACCATGCACCAGTACTCCGATAGCGAGTTCTGCACAGGGTAACCAGTGAGTACGAGACGTCGAGGGGTTTGAATTTGAGCCACACTCTGACACAGCAACGAGCTTGGGTCCTTCATCCGGTGACCTTCATCCATGACCACAAGATCAGCACCTGGAGCACACAGCAGCTGTCGAAACTCGCGCGCTGTGCGCTGCAGTTTGGCCGTCTCATGCGCTGAAGCGCTGGTGATTTCCACGGTGGCAGAAGCCATTCGCGAGCATACTCGGATAGATGCATCGCGCTCTGTAGCACAGCTCACCGGCGTCGTTGTAGGGTTCAACAACCCACGGAACATCTCGTACCCCATTAGCAGAACACCGCCAATACGCTTCCAGCGTTGTAGCAGTCGCAATCGACCTGCAGTAGTGCTCTTTGTTGTGGAAGAATCCAACGTTAGAACAGGACAACGCGCACGCGCCTCGGCACCCAGCCATTTGTGGAACTCGGAATCCCAGTTAGGTAAACAAATAGCCGGACACAAAACCAGCACCGTCACGGGTGGATCCTCATCCTCGCAGCTTTTGTTGTGCTTTTCTGAGCTCGTTGGGTCTGCCTTGCATGTATCGCCACCGAGCGAATCATCGTCCTTGCTGCGTCGCTTGCGAGCATCGATTTCGTCAACTATGAAGGAATAAATAACAGTGATGACTTGCAGCGTCTTGCCAAGTCCCATGTAGTCCGCCAAGATGCACCCACGGCCAGCAGCTACGTGCGAGTGTAGAAACTGCACGCCTTCCACTTGGTGAGGTTTCAGCAAGGGTTTAATCTCTTTTGCTATCCACACGTCGCCTCTGTTTTTCTCTTGGTTGTCCGTGGTAATTGAACCCAGAAGCACACGCCCATACTCATCCGTCTCCTCGTCGACAGTTCCTTGGTCTTGGTCCGAGATCGACGGGCTAGCAGCCTCCACGCTAGTAGTTTCGTCTGCGCCTAATATTGTGGAGTCATCATCAGCGGGGCAAATGCATGGGAGCATCATGCAGCTCATGCACTGCGCTGTGGCGTTGGCCGCGAATAACTGGCGCAGCTTCGCTTTCGCCGTCATGGCGCCGCCGGAGTTGCGTGCATCTTGAGCTTCCTCCACGAAGTCCACGGCATCCTCTGCATCGCCCACACAAATGCAAGGCAGGAGGCCACAAGTGCATCCGCTGCCGCCCATAAGATGCGCTCTGTTTGACGTGCTGTTGCTGCGTAGAACGGCTACCAATGATGCCGATCTAAACGAGAGTAAGACATGTGGACCACATATGGATACATGAAAAATTTATTGCTTCAAGCTATCGGTAGTGAAGGAAGCATAAAAGTCTGATGCAGGTGTCCCTGAACGCACTTCAATTCCCGAAGCAGTGCGGTCCTCATTACCACTAGCATTGAGATCCTTCTCCTTTGACCCATGTTCAGTTGTTGTAGAAATCATGTCTCCGTAGGCACCGGAGCCTCCCGGTGCAGGAAAAGCACCTTTGCCAGCACCAGCATTATCGCCGAAAATGTCATTGAACTCGAGATCATCGCACTGATCAACTGGTATAATCCCAGTGGGAACAATGGTGTTTTCAATGGCATTGTCGGTCTGAAACTCAACTGATGGCTTAGCAAACCCACCAGTTTCACCGAAAATGTCATCGAAGTCAAGATCTGCACACGGAGTCAGAGCGCTGGAGTCCAGACTAGCGATGGCAACCGGGTCCTCGTCGGCTATCGGGACATCCGGCACGTCCGCAGGTGAAGCCTCGTCGGTTTGCGCAGTCTGGCCGGCGATA